CAAAGCTGTAGCAGGTGCCCGGCAATGCTGCCGGTACTAAACCATCACCGAGCTCTCCTCCGCTCGGTAATGACATCCAGACCCTGAGACCACTCTTCCAAAGAGACGCGGAGGTCGTGTGCCTCTCCCCGACGGGCCGTGTCCCCCAAGACCTCCAAGAGGCTTTATTTTTGGCTCTTGGATGAGACTGGGAGAGCCTACGAGGACAAAGGTCCAGATCCAACACCCCGGGACCCCGCTGTTCCTCGACACTCTGTTAAAGCAGGCGGCCGAGTCAGACGCACCGCAGCCCTGGGAAGCGTCGAGGTGGAGGCGTGGGACGGAACAAGAGACGTGCTACCACGGCGTAAGCTATAAGCCACCGAGGGCGGAAGGAACTGCAGGTGGAGCCCAGAATGGTCTGGGTGGTAGGACACGGTTACCTTTCGAGCATCCCTGGCCACGTCATCACTGGAGGAACTAATCTCTGGCTTCTTTGCTCTCTCCTTTTCTTCACCACCTTCTTCTTCAGAAGAGACATCTTTGTCGCTGATGTTGCTGGCTAACTCCTCCAGCTTCCTCTTCAACTCCTCCTCCTCAGCATCAAGTTGGGACTCTGGGGCCGGAGACTGAAGGAGCAGAAGAAGGGAGCTGTGTAAGAACCTCCTGTGGTGGACTATAGGGTCCAGACACACTCACCAAGACCGGCCAGCAGAGGAGCTGGAGGAGTGCGACCACAGATGGACTTGGCAAAGGGGACTTTCAGCCCCCCGCTCCGCACCCGTTTTCACAAGGGGTGGTCAGACTACCTGGGGGAGCAGCAGAGCCCAGTGAGCTGCGCCCCAGCTCCACGCTGAGGAGTACAAACCCTTGATCTAAAGAACCTCCATTCCCATTTTCCCCACGCACAGAACCTGCTTGTGCCCCACCCCGCCCCTTAACAAGGTTTGCATGGGGGATTCGGGGCCAAAAATCACTGTATTTTCATTAGGAACCACGGTGTGGCTGGTGGCTCCAAAGGCAGAGATCACAGCGACCCAAAGGTATGGTCCACCGGGCTGAGGGAAGCAGCCACGTGGACCACCGCTCCCCCAAGGTAGCTTTCGGAGCCTCTAGGTCGTCGTATTTGCGATGAGAAAAGACGCAGCAAATTTTCCCGTAGGACAGGTGGCATATTTCCACCACCGGCCCCGTTATTAGGTGCAATTCACGTTACCCGGAGAAGAATCCTATTAAACTCCCAGGCACTGGAAGGGATCTCCAGAAGTTACTGAACTCACCGTCCCTTGCGTTAAGACGGGAATTAGCTGTGTCATACCCGATGGGTTTTTGTCTAAGCTGTTCTTAACGACCTCAAACAACGGCATCCGCAGCAGGCGGTCTTCCTCCCAAGCAACCTATTCCCGGGTTCTGCTACCCTTTCTGCTCAAAAGCTTTTCTTAATAGTTAACCTCAACCTGTCCCGCAGCAGTTTAGACCCATTGCCTCTACACTGATCTGCCCTAGACGCGGGAATAACGCACGGGAACCAGCAAACGTGCGCGTCTCCTACTCCCTCGGTCAGATTTACCGACAGGAACACTGAATGGTTACAGACACGGCCATCCCCATTACGAATTTTAGAAAAAAGAAGAAATTGCGTTGTTTCATCTACGCCTAGGGGACTTCTCTCTAATTATCACTGTCCGCGCTACTGAGCCATCAGCCGCCAGAGCAGCGCGTGGCGATGGGTTCACACAAAGGAAGAGTGCGTGGTCTAAAATTAGAAATCCAAAATCAATGTTAAGTGACCTAAGTATTCACAGATTCTACATTGCTACCCAGGTTTAACTTAATTTAGCTGTTTTCTTCCAAGCTTGATGGCATGGTAAGACAAGGGCAGCTCAGAAGAGACACAGCAATCCTTCTTGACTCAGAGCTCATATTCACAATAACCGGGTGACTTCCTCCTACGTACTGATTGATCCTCCCGTGATTTCAAATGAGCCGTCGCAGCTCGGCGGATGTACCGACACCCACTCCACAATACTCCTAAAATTAGCGCTTCACAGAGTATCAACCTGAAACCCCATTCTCCTTGTGCAGAAGGGGCGAGGAAGGCACTACCTTGCATGGGGGTCTAAATGCCATGGGTTACAATTTACTTCTGTTTCCACCCTGCCACGCGACGTTTTCTAAGGCACTCCATCACCCGGGACTAGAGAAGAGCCTCCGAGGCCAAAACAGAGGATCAAAAGCAAACAACCTGAGCCGTTTTGTCTCCCCGGCTTCCTCCCTGCAACGCTGGCTGTTTCCGAGCAGCCCTTCCGACGACAAGGGGAAGGGACCAGCACAGCCCACGCTCTCTCCCTGCGGATGAAGTGCCCTGCTTTGCCCGGTTACCTCGTCGGAGCGCACCAGGATTTTTTCCTCCAAGCGGTTCAACACGCGTTCGATTGCGGACATGCGTTTGTTGAGCTCGTGAATCTAGAGGAAAGGGGAGAGAGAGAGAAGTAGAGAGCAGACCAGCCACCGCTGCCGGGACGGCAAGAAAACGGCGCAACCAGCAGAAGCAAGCAAGCAGCAAGACACCATGGGCCGAGTTAAAAGATGTTAAAAAAATAACGTCTTTAAAAAAAATGGCCCTGGATACCCCGAAGAGCTCCAGGAGGCACACGGCCTCTCCCCGAAGCTGGAAAACTCGAAGCGATGCCGAGTACCCAGCACGCCGCAACTCCCACCAAAGCATCGGTCGCAGCGAGCGTAAAACGGCGTCACTGACCCCTTTGTCCGGACAAAAGCACCAAGCTGCCACAAAGCCGTTAACACCTTTTTTCGATGGCAAGAGTGATATCTTGCCATCATTCGCATGCTGCCCCAAATTCGAGTCGACGTCGGTTGTCGCTTCCTACTAACACGTTTTTCAGGCGGCTGCTGCCCCACCATCCCCGTGCCAACAAAGCGCTGGAAAGGAAGAGGGAAGGAGGGAAGGATTTCCCATGAAAAATTCCAGACAGAAAAACTAACACTGAAAGTTTTCCTCAACACACTTGGAAATTTTCTGACTTCTCTCCGTGCGGTGGTTTACCAAGATGCTTGCCCCTCTTTTCTCCCTCGCTCTTCCATCTGAAAAGAGGGGCATGGAGAGAAGAGAACAGACGAAATCCTGAAAATCAAAGAGAAGTCGCTTTCTATACTCAGGAGCCAAGACAAATTTTTGTGGTTAAATCACTGAAAACATAAAAGGAAGCTTGGGTTTTTTTCCTGTTAGAAATTGAAGTTTTGCTTTCGTTAAAAAAAAAAAAAAAAGTCTTTCTCCTTTGATCCAAACAAATAAAACACAAATGACGAGAAATATTGCCCGTTTTATATAGATAAAACACGACCTCCCACATCACTCCTGTTCCGAGTAGCTGCCTCCCATTCAAAGGGGAACGAGCAGCAAATGCAGTAAGTAAACGCAGTAACAAAGAGATGCAAGGGCTTGGCTTTGTTTTTCCGACATTTCCATCCTCTCACTTAGTTTTTGTGCTTCCTAGCGTTCGATTAATTAGATCCTCACAACAGCCTAGAGAGATCGCATCTGCTTAAGGGAAGATGAATATAAAAACCTGACGCTCCGGAGACCAGAGCGCTGTAATTACCGTCCCAAACTGACTGCAATTTTAAGCAGCATTAAACCTGCAGGCAGGACGCCATCCAGTCCATCTCCGAGTGCTTTATCAGTGCCGGTTAAGGTCTGGCTTTTGCATCACTCCCCGCGACAAGGAGAAGTCTGTTGATGGCCCACCAGCTTCAGAGGAAGAGATGGTGACAAACCGAGTGCCCGGACGCTACCGTGCCTCCCCAACGTAGAGGTTGGGAGAGGGCAGAGCGTAACGCACGGTTTGCTGTTGATGGGCTACAAGGAGAGGAGCTGAAGAGCTTGCTTTCCTTCTCCTTCCCAAGCGAGGCTGGCTTTAATGCCTGGTGGTCACCCCATTAGGGTACGTCGCCATCCGGGGCTGGACCGCCCTGCACTGCTCTCTGCGTGACAAAGGCTGGAAAACGCTGCTCTGTATTAAAATACTTAAAAGCAGAGAAACTTAAAACATAAGGAGGACATCAGTTAGGGGAAACCATCACTTGCTGCCAGGGAGGGAAGCCAGGTTATTCAAGCAGAGGTGCTGCCTCCAGCCTCTCAAACACCCAAGACCGCCAACAGAGGCTTTACGTAAAGAAGAGGAGCCAGATGACATCAAAGCTTTGGGAATCCAGGACCACTAAGCTCCCTTGAGGTACAGCAGAACAGCTTTTGGGGAGAAACGTGGTAAATCGGTGCTGCTCCTTGTGGCTTCATCCTGTTCCTACCTGGCTTCTGAAGACCTAAAGGGAAAGACCTGCAGTTACCAGTTCAGGGCTTTTCATGTCTCATCAGATTTCAGAGCTTTTTTTTTATTTTTTTTTTTTTTATTTTGTTCTAGCACCTTCAGCTGCTGGAGTCAACAGGGAACTGCCTCTGCTTTTGTTACTGGAAGAGTTAAGTTTCTTGTGTTTGGGACTGAGCAGCGTACCCTCTCCAGAATTAAAGCAGAACCCATTTTTCAGTTCAAAACGTATTTTGACAAACTTGCAACTGAGGCAGTTTTAGGAAAGAGGGTTTTCATCTGTGGGGTCAAATATAATGCAGGGCAAAGAGCTGAGCTCTCCACCTCTTGAAACCTTCAGATGCCAACAAAGGGTCTACCAGGAAAACATTGCTTTTGAAGCCAGGCTAGGGCATTCAGTGCAGGTTTAGCAGGCATTAACTAACATGCTTCTGGACCCTACACCCCACAGGCCAACATCTTGAGTTGCCAAAGGGCACAGTCTCCGAGAAGTACGGCGCCAGGGTGACTCAGCCATGTCCCCTGGGATGTCCCGTCAGAGGCTGGGATGCCCCAGAAGCCCTGATGATGGCTACATGACATACCCTGGAAGTGCCGGCAAGCGGCTCGAGAGCCACTGCTTCACTGCTCAGGAGAGTGGCTGTCCCAGATTCTGCTGCTCAGTGTCCCAGATCCCTCCTGGCCCATCTCCGCCCTCCTGCCCAGCCCTCAGCCCCTCCATCTCCTCTAATCTCAGGAAAACGGATGGACACCAGCCTCTTCTGAACCTCTTCCAGCTCTGTCAATATGACAGAGCTGGCTAGCACCGAAACCTGGATGTTCGTGCCTTCTCTCTTCTTTGGGCTTGTACTTGGCCTCTCCTTGGCCAACGGTGACAGCAAGGCACGCGTGCATGATTCTGAAGTTAATGGCCCAGCACACAGCTGGGTCTCTTCCTGCTGGGCAAGGAGAAGGCTCGGCAGGAGGACGGTTGCTAGCTGTAAACGCATCAGCGGCGCAAAGGGCAGGAAGGATGAAAAGCTATTTACACTAACGAACGATGTTGGCATAAGAGCAAATGGGGTTAAATTGGGAGTGAGAAGATGTCTCGTAGCCATTAGAGTGACGGGGCTGCACAGCAGCCTCTGAACTGGTGTGATGGGGCAAGCCGCAAAGCACACCAGACCGTCCTGACGCGAGAGCTTGCCCCGCTGATGAAGGAAGTCATCTGAAGCGTTGGTAGGAATTTGGCTCCATTTCCCCACCGCAAAGCACGGTGCACATTTCATGCCTAACGTACCGTGGCCTCATTAAGGACACCCAGTCCAGGGTTCTTCCATTTACTGCTGACCGAAAAAGGAATGGCATTTACTAATTAAAACGTGTGCCAAGAGAAGTAAAAGGCAAAGGAAAGGCTTCCCTAGACAGGAACAAGAAGCGAGCTGCCGGGGGACGGCTGTGGTTACAGATCGCCCCACCGCTTGCCCCGAGGCCGGGTCCAGGACGTGCAAAATTACGAGCTGTGGGCAGAGACCGGCAGCTGGCTCTCCCCGTGTACCTGCACCAAACACCGCCCTGCGCTTCGTTGCTCAAGAGGTCTGAGGGATGCTCTACCATTCTCACCACCCGCCACTTGCAAAGGCGGCATCAGGAACTGCAGGTCCTCGCTTGACAATGAAAACACGAGCTCGCAGCCTTTTTGACACCCCTCTCTAGACCGTTCCCCTTATTATCGTCATTCAGGAGCGAGACGCGACAGGTCGTCCCGACCCAGTCCTGCCGGGGCAGGAACGCTACGCACTCCAAAGGAAGAAAAGGATCTTGATGCTTATTAAATATCCCTCTCCAAGCCTCCGTCTGATCGTAAAGCACCGGCGCATTCAATGGAAGAAAGCCTTTTTGGGGACACAGAAAGCCGTAATTAACTCGCTGATTAATAAGGACAGGCTGGAAAACTAACAGCAGGGAAGGCAGGCTTGGTACTGCGACAGCAGCATGGGCAGAGCGAAGCACCAGTGCCCGAGTTTCTCTTTGCCATGGGTGTAAAAGTGGAAGGGCTGGGAGGAGAGCAAGAACAGAGCTCCGGAGTACTTCTGCATCATCCTAACAGTGCAGAGAAAAGTCTGTTCTCCCCCACCTCAAGGAATGAAGGAGCTTTAAACACACCTTCCCAGGTCTCAGCCCTGCTCTCATTTCATCACCACCTTGGCAGGTCCCTCGCATCACGGAGGGCAGGACACGGCCTGGGCATTCATCTTGCTGGTGCCACGCAATCGCGATGCGACACCCAGATGAGCCAGCTCCTAGGTCATCATCCCACAGGCAACCGCTCCAGCAACGTGAAGTGGCTACACTCCCAGCTTCTTCAGTTCCTGAGCTGAAGAAGGGAGAAGGATCTCAAGTCTACTGAGATCTGGGATCCACTCTGCTCCTTCTTGGACCCACACATGGGAAGCACGGGCACCAAACTGCTCCCACTGCATCCTGGCCAGGAGACTACCTTGGTTTGGCACCACTGCTTCTCTTCTCCTCTGAACCACCCTGCGCCTCGCAGATAACGAGCCTTATTTATGGCAAGAGAGGCTTGGCCGCAGGCTCGGTCTCACAAGAGGTTCGAGAGCTGTGTGGTACCTGACTGCCGGAGTGGCTGATGTTCTCCTGGGAGGAGGCTCTGTTCCGGCGTTTCGCGTGATGGGGCAGGTAGGCAGGGCACTGGGCTCCCTTCACGTCCTCATCAGAAGTGTCCGTATCTGCCGAGTACCGGGACCGGGGCTGCTCGTTCCAGGGGCTGCCTTTGGAGAGAGAAGGCTTCAGCACAAAAGGTACAAGAGATTCACACCCCTGAGCTACCTCCTGGACATCAGCCCCATCCTTAAGACAAGCAAATAACGAGGCAGTTCTCCAAATCACGCTTTCTACCCTTTGGCAGGAGATGCTTCTGCAAGGTTAAGGATGGCTACGCCGGGCCAGGCTGCGGCTCCATCGGCTGTGGCCGCACAGCACCCAGCTCAGCAGGGACCCCGGCAGTGCTGCTGAGAGAGCAGCGGGCGCAAGGAGCATCATCCTCGCTCTCTCATGCCCCAAACGGCCAGGCCCTTCACCAAAACCTGCTATTCTAAACTTTTTCCAACGTTTTTTCCAACACTTGTTTTTTTTCCCAACACAATTCCAACTGTGTTGGAGCACAGGTTTGGACGCTGCCCTTCACGCACTGTTCAGGCGCTGGAAGACGTACCGGTCTAGGATAGAGCATTTACGAGGGTGCAGTTTCTCCTTTTTCAAGGCGAATTTCCAATAAGACAAAAACGATGAGAGAAAATGGAATTAACAAGCCAGGAGGCCCTGCTGCTGTGTCGCTCCGGAGTAGGAATTTAACCAGCGCGTAGCAAGGTTTCTCCAGCGTTTCCCAGTGCCCTGGAAACCAAGCACTTGAAAACACAACCAAGGAGTTGGAGACCCAGAAGGGTATCTATACGCTACAGCTGGGTGTGCACAAGCCAGTACCCAGCTCTCCTGCCTCTGCTATCAACAGCAGGAAAAAGCGGTAGCAGCAAAAGGCAAATTCCGCACCATCGTTTGCTGGGGTATTGAGAGATGCACGAAACCACAGGTCCCGCAGCCCGCCGGTGCACCCTGCCCCGCTGCAAGGATGCTACTTAGCAGCCTCCAGTTCTTCTCCGATCTTACTCCGGTTCGATTACCCCTTAAAACTCTAAAATTTCTGCACCCACAACATCCCTTGGCAAGGAGCTCGATTCGTCTCTCCCTGCCTGCAGGAAGAAACACATCCTGTTGTTTTCTAGTCTGGCTTCTGGTAGCATCAGTTGACACAGTTCTTACTCTGGACAAGACCTCCAGCTACGAAAGGGCTGGAGACCTTAAGAACAACCCTTCTGGCTTTGAGAAATGAGTTTGTTGGAGACAAAACCAGCCCATTACAACCAAATAACTTCAACCAATTCTCTCAGGGTAAAAAAAAAAAAAAAAACCAAAATCACCTTTGCAGATGAATTATTTTGTCTTGACAGCCTTTGAGTGGCTTTGAGGTTTTTAAAAAAATTAAAAGGCGTTTTCTTTTTGGCCCGGCTCCCCCAGCCACTCTTCCACAAGATACAAGAGGAGCCCGGCCAGAGGCACCTACCAGGTTTTACATTTCTTTCCAAGCTCCTTCTCCGTGAATTGACGGTCAGCCGAACCTCGGTGCTGAAGTGCTGCTCCGGAGGGCTGACGCCCGGACCCTGCTCCTGCAAGACGTGGTGGAAGACTAGATCTGCCTCTGTGATCCTGGACTCCTGGGTTGCATCTTCGGTCAAGTTGGGGAAATCTGGGAAGGACTGAGAGATGACGATTGCTGCTTGAGCAGCTGCCCGTGAGGACTGCGAACCTCTCCCCACCTTCGCTAACAGCTCCTAGCCTTATCCTCCAATACACGCATGGACTGACCTTTCATCATGCCAATTATAATCATCAATTTTCAAGCCAACCGTGTCCCGGGCTGCCCCCAAAGCCGCGTGGCCAGCGGGGCGAGGGAGGGGGTTCTGCCCCTCTGCCCCGCTCTGGGGAGACCCCCCTGCAGGGCTG